TAAAAAGACCCCAAAGAAAAGTAGCCAGTTTCTTGGCTAAAAGTCAAAATGTCCTTGGGCCTTTTAGCAACATACTCTGTTCCAAAGACCAAAACTGTCAAAAGTATTTGGGAGCTTGTATCTAATCCTTAAATGATTTTAGGGATACCTCTTCAGAGGGGTAATGTTAGAGCAGCAAAAAGCCCCATAAAAATAAATAAATGAAGGAAGGGAAAAAAAAGAAAAAGAAAAAAGTGATGGGGTGATATGGGAGGTGTTGGAAGGGAGGGAGTGGGCATGGATTTGATCAAAATACTTTATATGCATGTTTGAAATTCTCAATAAAGTTTTCATAACAGTTAAAAAAAAGTCTTCTACCACCTACCTGATGCCATGTCCAGTGATTTTTAAAAAAATATTTTATTTATTATTTTTATGTGTATGTGTATATTGCCTGCATGTAGATAAGTGTGCCCATGTCATGCAATGCCCACAGAGGACAGAAGAGGCTGTTGAATCCCCTGGAACTGGAATTACGAACAGTTGTTAGCTGCCATGCTGGTACTGGGATTCGAAACTGGGTCTTCTGCAAGAACAACCAGTGTTCTTAAACGCTGAGCCATCTCTCCAGCCCCCAATTTTTAAAAGATTTATTTAAAATATTTTATTTATTATTTTTATTTTTTTATGTGTATAAGTGTGTTGCCTGCCTGTGTGTAAGTGCACCCATGTCGTGCAATGCCTGCAGAGGTCAGAAGGTGATTGGATCCCCTGGAACTGGAGTTACAGGTGGTTGTTAGCTGCCATGTGGGTGCTGGGAATTGAACCCATTTCCTGTGCAAGAGCAGTCAGTGCTCTTAACTGCTGAGCCAGCTTTGTCTATCTTAAGGAAGCATGTAGATAGAGATATATTTGTACATGTGTACAAAAGACTGAAATATTGACCTCCACGGCATTGCATGGCATGGGTGCACTCACATACATGCAGGCAATACATTCATACACATAAAATAATGATAAAAAATTTTTTTGGTCTTTATGAGACAGGGTCTCCCTGTAGCCCCAGCTGGTCGAACTCACAGAGATCCGCCTGCCTCTGCCTCCCAAGTGCTGGGATTAAAGGCATGTGCCAATGCACCAAAATTTTACATGCAACACGTTTAGCTAACACAAAACCCTATATTACTAGTGTAGACACTTCAATTATTTCTGGTGATACAGCTCTACATGGAAACCTTTGGAGTGTTGCTTTCCAAGTTATATAAATGAGAGAACTTTTTTTTTCCTTAATGACAATCTTTGGTCAGGATATAGCCTTTGATTTATATATTGCTGAAGTTTTACGCTAATATTTTCTTGATTTTCTATTTTCCTGAGTGTGATTGCTCTGAATCTCTTCCTGTCCTTTATTAGAATATACCCATTGTCATATTTATTGTTAAAACAGTTTTTGGCATATTCTATGAATTTGAAAATGTTTCTTGTTTCCTGTGTTCCTTTGATTTTGTTTAAGAGCCTGTGAAATTGAGATTATTCTCTCCTCTAATGTTTGGTGGGCCTAGAAAATTTACTTTTGAGTTCTTCTGGGAAAGTTATTTTATTATTCATATGTTCTAGTGGTTATTAGTCTATTCATAAGTTCTGTATTTTCTTGAGTAATTTAAGCTGTATTTTCCAAATATTTGTTAATTCATTTAAGTTTTAAAATCTATTATCATAAAATATTGCATGTTTTCTCATTGTTTATTACTGTGACAGATCACACATATAAAAGCATAAATGAGGGGCTGGAGAGATGACTCAGCAGTTAAGAGTATGGGTTATAATAAGCATCTAGGGAATTATTGTCTTTCTAAAGTTCATCTGTTGCTGCAGATCAATGCTGAAGGCATATCAACGGAGAGAAAGCTTGTCTGGAAAGAGCATTATTTTGAGACATGCTCCCACTTTATATTCCTGGCCAGTCTGGAACTCCCTATGTAGAACAGACTGGCCTTGAACTCACAGAGATTTGCCTTCCTCTGCTTCCTGAGTGCAGGGATTAAAAGTGTGTGCCACTATGCCTGGTCAAAGAGCATGTTATTTAATGTAGTTGGAGGATATGACAGTTTCTTTTTAGAGCTTAGACTCTGGTTTGTGAAGATTTATCCTGCTGGAAAAGGTTTTCAAATCAATGTGGAAATTCCTCTTTGACTTCGGTGCCCTGAAGTTGGGAGGCTGATATTTGCCTCCCTCCCAGTGACGCTGAGTGTCCCCCCCGACTTTTCTTCTCTAAACCTGCACGGTACAAATGACTTGCTGATGGAATTCTTTTGACACTAAGCCCTGAGCCAGACAGGGAGGGTGGAACAGGTGCTTTAGGTGAGAGCCGGCAGCCTGGTGGAAGATGGAGGACATTGCTCCTAAGCCACCAGGCTGTCCTGTTGACACAACTCCATTAAATGCCCAACTGCCACCCACATGCCCACAACCCAGAAAGTTCATGAAATGTTGACGTTTAATGATTTATTATGTATAATAAATCTGTATCTGTACAAAGAGAAATCTATAAAACTCTAGGATGTGAAACAGCAGCCGCTCAGCCTCCGAAGTATCAACTCCTGGTGATCCTAGTCAGTGTGTTTGGGGGGACCCTCAGAGCATGTCTTCTTCAAGATGCTGAACTGGTTTGCTGAGCGCTGAGTGCTAACGGTGAAGAAGCAGGTGATGGTCTGAGGGAATGATCAAAATGGGAAAATGGATGGAGGAGGCTGAAGTCCGTGGCTTATAGTCAATGCTGTCCCCCCAACCTCATCACTTGCTCGGCCAGCAAATGGGGGAAGAGGGCTTTGGCTTGCAGGTATAACCTCCATGCTTGTAATCCCCATCCTGAGCCTTCAGTGAATAGTGAGCTGCATCTGGACTTGGGCGTCTTCATGACCCAGCCCAGGGGCACTTGTGTCATTTCCTTTACTCAGTCAGTGTCCCCTCCCCGACCCAGAGGACCTCTGGGCTGTCCCTGTGTGATGTAAGTTTCCAGGAATGGTAAGGGATTCTCTGTCTCAGAAGGTATTGACTGCTGCCAGATTTAAGTCTTTAGTTATGCCTCTTATGAGGAGTTCTACTAGCTCTGGATGGAGTTGTCCCCAGAATGAGGCTGACTTTGTTCTTATCGTTCACAACAGGTGCTTCAGTTCTGCAAAGCACAGGTCTTGGAGGGAGGACAGCAAGGCCCCCTTTCCCACTCCCTCCTCAGGTTGTGGGTCAGTGAGGGCCCCCTAAGATCTGCATATACAAGCAAAGATAATTTCAAAATCTACTAAATTCTTTCCTTGAAGGCAAGAGAAGAAATTAAGGACCGGTCAAGGGGCATCCTCTACTCAGGCTCAGGACACAGGATCAGGGAAACACATTCTGAGGCCATGCATTTCTAGAAGCAGGCAGCTACAAGGCTGGAGTGGGCAGAATTGGGTACACAGGTTGACTAGGGCTCTGTAGCTAGCCCTCGGGCTGTCTGCCTGGTAAGTAGACATTGATGCTTAAGAGGAGAGTCCTGTGGACCCTGCCGCCAGCCCTTCCTTAGATCTCAAAGCATGGCTCTTGTCACCTGCTGAGCATGTCCACCAGCCCCCTTTGGCACCCACAGCTGTGAAAATGAGGGAGGTAGGTGCTCTGCCTTACATTATTCCGTTCATGGCTCTCCTGAAAGGGACAGGTGTCAAGGCTTTCCTCATGTTTCTTACAGATGGTTCTTTCCAGCTGCAGTTTCATGGAGAAAATGTCTGGTTGCTTTGTCTGTAGGCAGAAAAAGACCAAAGTGAACAGACCCTTCTTGCTACTCTTTTGTAGATGATCTTGTGTCTGTGGTTAATATGGGCAAGCGACCCAGACTCCCTCCTGCATTTGGAGTTCCCCTATGTCCTGGCATCAGGTTCTTGTAGTGAAGTAAGGGGATCTTTTCTAGAGTCAAGGGGAGGCGGTCTATAAAGGCCAGGGGATGTCACAGACCACATTATAGAGGTTAATACATTGCCCATCTCAAGTTCCCACACACCACTCCACCAAGTGTGATTCAGGCTTCCTTTTCATTGGGTGTGTGAACCTACACCTACATTTCCAGAAGATGGGGTGCATGTTCTGGGAAGGCAGTGGCTCTGAAAATGTTTACTGGATAATCTCAATCCAAGCGTTGGAGCCAGATCTGCAGTGTGCTGTCACCTGAGCTACAGCAAGAAAACGCTTACAATGCAATTGCTAGACACCAGCACGCAGGATTGGAGCAATGGTTTCAGGAAGAGTTTCTGCTTTCTACAAGCAAATTCTTCCTTCTACTTCTTCCCACTCTGCTCATCCTTCATCCCTTCCCCATCCTTCCAACCCTCCATCCTTTCTTCCCACCAAACTGACACTATCTCTATAGCAAAGCTAGAGCCAGAACTCACAGGTGAGGTTTCAGCCTGAGAGAGCTCAGAGAGCAGGTCCAGCTAGGATGCTGCACAGGGATTCTCAGGAGCTTTGCAAGGCTAGTGGGCCCCTGTCTTTCCTGTGGAGGGAAGAGAAATAAAGTTCCCCTATCCATGAGCTGAAGTGGTGCTTTAGAAGATGAATATTGTGATCCTGAAGACATTCTACAGGGATTCTATCATGGGGAAGGTATCTTAGGATGAGGGAGAGGGACTGATATAGTCAATAGGCTGAGTGGGTTAGTCAGAAATGGAGAGCAGGAGGAAATCGGGAGGAGCTGAGTTGGCCCATGGCTCTCAGGACAGTTGGCGGGTCACCTACAGGTTCTCTCACTGAACCTGGAGCTTACCCATTCCAGATCCTCCTGTCTCTGTCTCTGCAGCACTAGGATTATAGGCATGCATACCTGACCAGGCTTTTTACATGGGTGATGGGATCTGAATTCATGTCCCCAAACTTGTGTGGCAAACACTTTACTGAATGAGCCATGTCCCCCAGCCCTCCAATTGCTTTTTGTGGTTGTTGTTGTTGTTGCTGACAAGGTTTGCCTATAGCTCCAGCTGGCCTGAAACTCACTATGTAGGTCAGACCTCAATCGCACAGAGATCCACCTGCCTCTGTCTCTTAAGTGTTGGGATTAAAGGCATGCACCACTGTACCAGCTTCCTCCAGTAGCTTTAATAAAATTTTTATATCTTTGTAAAGTGCCCATGCTATTGTAAATAGCCCCTCACCCATGCTTCTGTAAGTAGCCCTACTTAAACTCATTAGATTCATAAAAAGAGACATAAAAGTAGAAAGGGGATAAGTTGGGAAGAGGAAAGGAATCAGCAGGGGTAGGAGGAAAACAAGAGAGAGCCATGGGAGGTGAATATGACCTGAACGCATTATGACATGTATGGAAATACCATGATGAAACTCATTATTGTCAATAATTAATACATGCTAATAAAACTTTAAAACTGTGGTTTTGATATAATTTTCAGTCTTTATCTATTGAATTTTTTCATGAAAATCTTTTCCTTAGTAGATAGCTCTCCTTAGAAGTGCCTATTCTCCTAAGTGATACATCTACAATGCAACCTCTATACCTAAGTCTCAGGGAACATAGTGGAACAGGAGCAGGAGGAATATTTATGCATATCTCAAGTCTCACCAGAAAACCTTCATGCTAAAGATGGTGATTAACCCAGAAAGCCACAACTGGTCAAAGTGCAGAGAATAAGAGACTACGGAGTACTTATCCCTGAACAGGATATCTACATCAAACCTCTGCCACCTAAGGCTCAGGGATCACTGGGGAAGGGGTAGGGGGCACAGAGAGACCGTAAGAGCCAGAGGTGGTAGACGATCATAAGGAAATAGAGTTTTCCAGACAGCTGGGAAGTTGCTCATATGAACTCATAGCAATAGTGACAGTGTGCACAAGACCAATGCAGACTCAAACCATACAGAAACCCAGCACAGAAGTGGGGAAATGGGTAAGAATCCCAACCTTAGCCGAAGAGTTACTGGCAGCCATAACTACTAGGGCAGGGAGAGTTGATTTTCTTTATGGTAGTAACACTAGATAGGTTGACCTGGTTTGTATACACCAAAGGACATTTGGGGACACAAACTTGGCTCACTAGGCCTTAGCATATATGACAGAATACATAAAATCTGGTGGGGAGGGGCTATAAACAGGGTGAAGATAGGGAAGGGGTCTAAATATGATCAAAACATATTGTATGAAATTCACAAAAATTCAATAAAAGCTTGCAAAAAAGTGCTTATTCTAAATAGAAGAAAAAGAAGATGATAATTATGATGATGATGATTGTCTCCAAACTCTAGATCCTTCTATCCTAGTTTCCTAAATGCTGGAACTACAGGCATGCACCACCATTCTTGATCTAAACTTAATTAAATGGTGTTGCAAAAAATGATAATATAGAAAAAGATCTTTTATGTGAGTAGACCTAATTTAAAAGAATGAGTAAGTTAGAAAAGCATTCTAACCCCTCAAACCAATGGAGTAAGTTACTTGTAACTCAACTATGGACTACAAACGTTGGACCAAGCCTAACTGACCCGCTCCATGTCTCTGGACATGGAGTGGAGGAGGTCACCCACCTGCACCTTTGAGAAACTCAGGATCAGCGACAGCCCGTAGGCATATTCATCCTTGCTCTGCTCGTTGAATGTGTTCAAAGCAAACTTCACTGTGTCGGGGTCACTGACATAGACACTTAATTTATCCTTTTCAGAACACCAAGCACGAATTCCCTGGGGTTGGAACCCTAAGAGAAGCAGCAGTGATGCCCAGGGCAGAGCCCTCCTCCCAGCTGGACACGGCATGCTTCAGGCTCTTCCCCTTGTCTTTGCCCTTGTAGCCCTGCTCCCATAGTTCCAGCTCTTAAGTTCAGTCCTTGGGCTCCAAACTCCTCCTATGGTCCTCCTCTCTGCAATTACACCATGTCCCTTCCACACGTGGTACCACCTCCCTCAGCAGAAGCTGTTCAGTCACCTCCTGTCCTGGATGAAGCAGAAGGGCCCAGGCAGGGTGAGTTGGGGAGAACCAGCAAGGGGAAAGGGAGCCCCCTGACCTGACTTAGGATCCCTGCACCTCAAGGACACAAGCTCTAGGTGTTAGTGGAAGGTAATTTCTGGACAAGCCAGTAGAGGGAGACAACGACCCTGGAAGGGACAGAGTTAAAAGATGTGTGTAGCATCTTGACCAGGGGAAATGAGAACTGCTCAGAGTAGGTGTAGAGCCACAGCGTGGCACAGGGAGATCACTGTCGCCCCCGACCCCCCCCCCCCATCTTGGCTTGATGTTCCCAATGTTCCATTGTGCCCCAACAATCTGTCCTCCAATACCACAACCTGAACAACCTGGTACTGGCCTCTGGAAGGTGGTGCCAATGTTGGGGTGTCCAGAGTTGAGAGTTGAGAAGGGCAGGGGCCCCTTTGTGCAGTTTCATTTTCCCAAGCCCAGCTGCTCAGCCCAGGGTCGTGCCTCCTTACTGTTCTATGCTGGCGTCCTGGCTGGTTATATAAGGGTAATCCCCTCAGAAGTTTCTGCAGCGGGGTGGCCCTTTACGCTTAGAATTCTGGGAGTAGCGAATGTGAAAAAGGGAAAAGTACAGGCACCTCAGGGATGCCTGGGGTGTACCTGGTCTGTGGTCACTGCTGCCCTCTTGTGGCCAGGATCATCACAGTTCTGGGTGAGGCCTGGAGAGACAGTTAGTTATACACTCCAATCCCAGCAAGAAAAGGAGCTGACAAGCTGAACACCAGTCTTTCTCAACAAGACTGAAGCCTGGTCTGTGTGAAGTGTGCCTCTATCCTGCATTTATAGCTATGTGTAGCTTCTGGGGATCATGTGCTAGGTACTGCTGACTCTTACAACTGTGTCCAAATGCTTGTTGTGTCCTTAAATACCCGAGATAGCCTCACTCTTCAGCTGAGAGGCTAGAATCTCAAGACATCAAGTAAAGTGTGAATGGGAACCCTGGACTGTAGCACCCCGAGCACACGAGCAGAAATCCTGCAGAAAGCCTGGGAGTCTGACCAGTGAGCCACCAGCACCTGTCACCGCTTTCTTCATGGTTATCCCTCCCTGTGGGTAACTTCTCTCCTTTTGTCTCCACACACTCTTGCTCACCCTTTAAATACTCAAATACTTAGACCAAACATTACCTCTTTTCTAAAGTTCTCACAACTTTGTAAGAGTTCTAGTGCATTGAGCTACATCCTGAGCAGATGCTGACTTTCCCTCCAGGGCAGGCAGAATACCCGAGGTGCCCCTCTTTGTTTTGCTGACACTGAGCATCTCATGCAGGTCACATAGGAAAGTCTCAGTAACTTCTTGTGACATGGGCTTTGTTACCTAGAACCGAAGCTCTGTACTTCTGGAAGCATCAAGTATAGTGACTAAGACCAAATTGCCAGGCCTTATCTGTGAAGCTGAAGGGGAAGTGGGGCCTCCAGGCAGCCATCTTCAGGGTGTGCTCTGTGTGCCTGAGTGTCCTCTGACTGCATCCGGGTGCCTTCCCCCAGTCACTGTCGCTTTCTTTTGTAGTCATGTACAACTTGAGAGGGGGACCAGAATCTCTTAATGAAACATTAAGTTCCCCATGTAGGATTCTGATCCAGGAGGGCTATTCTGGGAAGGACTTTGCTCTTCTCATGCAGGGGGATGAAGGAGTGTCTGGTTCCTTGGCCGCACTTAGAGTGACTCAGATTCATAGTGTATCCCTGGTGCTGTCCTTTTTGCCTGGCTTCATGTCGCCTCATCCTCTGACTGTCTTGCTCCATCTTTTCCATTCCTGCCCCTGGCTTTGTGGGTCAGACAGGTCCCAGGAGCACCTGCTTGGCTTCCAGGCCACTTCCTCAGGGCCCTGCATTTCCGGCTTGGCATTTCCTTAGGGGACTCCCAAGTAACCCCACATCCCTTGGGTCTCCCAGTGCTGGACACAAGATCGCATCCAGAATTCACAAGACCAAAAAAGGAAATTAGGACAGGATCCAGAGGAAGAGGTCTCTGTCACAGGTGGAAGAGATGCTGTGGGATTCCAGGATTCTTTATTTCTAATTTTCATTTTTTATTGTGTTTTTATGTGTGGGTCAAGGTGTGTGTGGATGTCAAAGGACAACTTTGTGAGCTGATTCTCTCCTTCCACCTTTATGTGGGTTTCAGTGATTGCATCTAGGTCACCAGGCTTGGGCAGCAAGTACTCTGACCCGCTGAGCCATCTCACTGATCTGGATTCCAGGATTTTGGGCAGATCTGCACCCCTATCCTTGCCCCAACCCTTGCACCTAGGGCTTCTAAGAAGCACAGTCTTCAGGTAATCTTGAGTTTTGGTAATTTAAAAGACAAGTCCCACATAGACTCCCAGCAAATTTTAACTAAAAACCCCCAATGCCATGCACTGATGGCAAAAGGAAAAGTTAAAATACAAACATGGTCAAAGGTCTGTGAAGCCTAAGTTGAGGAAAACTTGCGTATACAAATTGAAAGCCCTGGAGGTTCCATCCCTGCTGCCCCCCCCCCACTTTTTTTCCCCTCCTGGCTTCTAAGTGCTATACCTTCCAGTCAGCTCTGCTCTGAGAGACAGAATGTGGTGCATTTTGGGGACACTGTGCTTGTGCCTCCAAGTGCTCAGAGCTGGCTTTTCCATCTCTTTTGGTGTTTGTTTGCACAGAAACCAAGGTTTCCATTGTAACTTAAGCTACATGTAGCCAAAGTGGATTTGAGGATGGGAAGGAGAGAGGAAAAACGGTTTTCTGATGTAAGTACATTCTTCTTATAAATGTATTTGTTGCTGCTGATATATTTTCTATTAAAATGCCATGTGCCGGGCATGGTGGCCCACATCTATAATCCTCACTCAGAAGACTGAGGTAGGAGGATCATGAGTTCAAAGCAAGCCTGGGTTATATGGTAGGACTCTGTCCCGAAGAACCAAGGGCTGGGGGTGAAGTTCAGCTGTCAGTTATTTGTCTAATATGCCCAAGGCCCTGGGTTCAAGCTCTAATACTGCAAAATGGAAGAAAAAAATTGCCTTTTCTTCCCTACCAGAAAACAGAAGTCCTGTGGCCTTTCATCACACAGGCCAGTATTTATTGAGCTGAATTCTATGTTCATACTGACCACTGTTTTCTTTCCTGGACACTTTAGTGTTAGAAAAAACCCAAACCCAGCCCGGGCATGGAGGTGCATACCTTTAATCCCATCATTTGGGAGGCAAAGGCAGGAGGATCTTTGTAAGTTTGAGACAGGGAGAACCTGTCTCAAAAGAACCAAAAAATTAAAAAAAAAAAAAAAAAAAAAAAAAAGAAAAAGAAAAAGAAAATCTTTATTATAAACAAAGAAAAAGATAAAAAAAAATGCTACAGCCACTTTTGCTAGGTAAAATATAGGCTTCGGTATAATAGAAACTCAAATACATAGGCTTAGCCAGGCAAGGAACTGCTTATTATTTTTAGGACAGATACCAACAACAAGCAGTTTCTCCCCGGCCCCACTGTTGCCAGGCATGTGCTAGGTGCTCTGTGTTAATTGGCTCCACGAAGCCTTACCTGGAGACAGTCAACTAAAGCAGTAGATAGATAACATTCCTTATCTAAAAAGCTAAAATCTGAAATACTTCAAAAGTGGAAGCTTTAAGTTCCATCATGATGCCACAAGTGAAAAATTCCACCTCTGGCTCAGCCATGCTGAAATGCAGGGACGCTGAAGTGTTCTTCCAGCTTACCCTTGAGCTATGTACATTAGGTGTATACAAATCACAGACGAATTTCATGTTTAGACTTAGGTTCCATATCCAAGATATTTTATTGTATATATGCAAATTTTCCAAAATCCAAAACAGTTCCAAACCAAATCACTTGGTCCCAAGCCCTGGAGATAACCTGCTCATAATTAAGCCTTGTACCTTCAATATTTTTCATGGATAATCATGCTGCATTTCTCACAGTTTGGGTGTTTATCCTCAGCTCACAACTGTGAGTCTCCTTGTTGGCACTTGTAGCAATAACCCCTTCATGATTGTTGCTTTGATCTATTCTTTAAATAAATTTTTATTTATTTATTTATATTTATTTATTTATTTTTATTTTATGAATATTGTACCTGCATGTGTGTGAGTGCACCTGTGTCGTGCAGTACCCACAGAGGACAGAAGAGGGAGTTGGAGTCTCTGGAACTGGAGTTAGAGATCATTGTTAGCTGCCATGTGGGTGCTGGGATTCAAACTTTGGTCTTCTGCAAGAACAGCCAGTGCGTTTAACCGCTGAGCCATCTCTCCAGCCCCTGCTTTCTTCCATTCTTTAGGACCTTGTCCTAGCAGATTCATTATTTGAATATTCCCTACGGCCTTGATTCTACTCTCTTCCTCTTGAAGTTGGGTGCAGAGAGGGCACCCTGGCCTGGATTCCATGTGCATATATGTGTCTCCAGGGGAGTTGCAGGGATGTGAGAGAGTCCCTTGTTTAACTTTATTAGGGATCTCTGTGCTAACGCTCTGTCTTACTGTGAAGATTCACAAATAAAGCACAGTTCAACACATCAGCATTTTGTTTAGGGCTTTTGCATTTTCATATCTCATTTAAAAAGTCATTTTTTCTCCTATAGTTTCTTCTTAGTATGTTGCCTGCTTCCGCTTTTTACAGGACCATGTGTGATTCAGCTGGAGTGTGGCATGTACGTGTTGGGAGGGAGGCACCTGTAGGAGGTGGCTCTTCACTCCCCAGATGCACAGTTCAGTTGTACTTATTGAGCAGCTCATTTTTCAAAGCCCTCTGATTCTGCTGTGGTTTGAATATGGCTTGTCTCTGCCAAAGTTCATTCCGAAATTTAATCCCATTTTGAGATATTCAGAAGCAGAACTTGGGCAAGAAGTATAGGTCAGTGGAAGACTGGTAGCCTAGATTATGAGAGACCCAGTGTGAGGAGAGAGAGAGAGAGAGAGAGAGAGAGAGAGAGAGAGAGAGAGCAAGCGAGCACCAGGGGGACCTTTAAAGGTATTCAGCTTCTCCCATTGTGAATGGATTAGTTATTTGCTTTGACAGGTTAATGGTTTATCTTTCTGCTATGAAAGCCAGCTTGCTTGCCTGGTCTCAGGAGCACCCCTGTCTCTCCATATGTGCCTACTTGGGCCTTTGTCATCACCAGATGCTGGTCCCTTGGCCTTGAACCAGGAACAGGGAGCAAGATAAATCTCTTAACTTTATAACTTACTCTGTCTATGGTGTTGTTATTACCCAAAGAAAATGGAAAAAGACAAATTTCAACAATGTCTCTCGTATTTGTTTCTTAAAAGAATACTGGTTGCTTCACTGATGAGGCGAAGAAGGTTATAATTTAACCTTGGCTGGGAAAGGGAGAGAAATGCCAGGACACACCCAGGTCTGAGCCTGCATGCAAGCTGGGCCTGCTCCCTGGCTCCACCCTGACTCCTTGTCACACTGTTCTGTGGGTGGATCTCTGTACTATGTCCTCTCTTTGGAGTCTGAGTTTGGATCTCAGCTTTTAGGGAGTGTGTTCTGTGTTAGTCATCGTAATTGATGTCATTGTTATTATCTCAAGCTCCCAAACCATCTATTTGTTCCTCATTCTTTTATTATTTGAAAACACAGCTTTGTGTTAGTACATTTTTGCTGTTGTTGTTGGAGGCCCAAGAGCATCATGGTATCAGCATTCTGCTCGACTTCTAGCAGGGACTTCATGGCAGCAGGACACGTAGTGTTCTTGGAGGAGTGGCCACAGGGAGAGGGAGAGATGGAGGGGGAGGTTGGTCTCCTTTATAGCAACCTCCTCTTGGGGTAATCAGTCCACCAAACTTGCTCTCACTAGAACTTCATTCCCCCATAAGAATGGAGCCTCATGACCTATCACCTCTTAAAAGTCCGACACTCTCACTTTGTGGACTGAGTACCAACCCAAGTCTTGGTGGGAACAAACCATAGCCACATTATGGCACACGAGGTTTAGTCTTTTGTCTTTTTTGGAACCCAGGTTTTATTTTCCTGGGAAGTTGAAATGGCTTTTGGTGATATACAAGCACTCATGCTGGAGAGTGAGGGGAGACACTGGGGTGCCCCTTCCCAAGAAGAGGGGAGTGTGTGGCTGGGAACCAGTGAGACAAGGATTTTTTGTTGGCAGTGAAGAAATTGTCCCATCACTGAACCCATCTGTAGAGGCTGGAGGTTTGAGGTGATTTGTCTGGTCAATATATGCAGTTTCTAGAGGCCATAGCAGGAGGCAAAGAGGAATGAGGGGGGTTTGGGCTTGGATGCACTGGAGTTCAGGTCTCATTTGCACTCATTGTTAATTTCATTGCCCAGAACAAATTTTTGCTTTGTGTTATAAACTCCATTTTATACAACCATAAAATTATAATTACTTAGTATTTGTTTCAGGACATTTTTATGAAAATGAATGAGTTGGTGAGTATGACACTGACAGAATGCCCAGGGGAGCAGACACTCCATAAATGACATCTGTAGTGTTTATCTTCATCACCGATTATGAAGAAATTGTCCCTCATGTGCCCAGCACAGTTAAAAGAATCCTTATCATCAGGTAAATGAACTGAGCAATGCTCCAAGTAGCTAAGCTTCAGGACAGGAAAGTGGGAAGGTATAGGAGTGGGGGCTCCTATGGCTCAGCCACATTTCCCAGGTTCCCTGGGATGCTGTGGGCAGAGGTACAGAAATGAACTTGCACATTGTCATGTGGCTTTGAGTTCATACTTTTGATCTAATTCAGGTTGGGATGACAGCTCAAGAAAACTCATTCTGGATAATTAATTATGAGAGTTCTCTTTGAAAGACTCTGTGCCAGTCACCTATCTGCTGTTGTGTCAAAATACTCGAGGTAAGCACCTTAAAAGGAGGGAGAAATTGGTTTTGGTTCACAGCTTCAGAGGTTTTGGTCAATGGTTTCTTGGCTCCATTGCTTTGAATGGTGAGGCAGAATCTCATGGCTGGGAGCTCCTGGCAGATCAAAACTTCTGGGAAAGCAGTGATGGCACAGTTTGCATTCAAGTCTCCTGGCCTTGGAGCCGTGAAACCCTGGCACATCTCAGCCTTCCTTAGGCCCCTTTTCTTCTCCTCTGGCTTGGTTTTGTGCCAAGTTTAAATACTGTGCTACTGAGTAGCCTTTCACAGCCCTCTGTTGGCTAATAAAATAAGCCCATCCCCAGGTCCCTTCTCCTATGTCAGAACAGGCTCTGGATTCTTTCTTTACTGACAACAAGTTTTATTTCATAGTGAAATAGGTATAAGCAACAGACAAGACCCTGAAAACTTTCCTTTCCCATCATTTCATTTTGACCTCACAATGGGGCTCTGTTCCACCATCGCTTTCTGGGAGAGTTGTCTTTGGGGTTTTCCTGCCTTGGACCACATTATGGGCACAGTGCACGATGTTCTCAAAACCTTTCATTCTGACAGTTTTGGGCAGTGTTTACTGTTCCTCATTCCAAAACATTCTCCTTACACTTGACCAATTTGACCACCCTGGTCTTTTTCCCTTTCTTAACAGTTGTCTAGACATGGACAATGGCTGCTTTCTCCTGGAAATGATTCCATTCAGAGTCCTTTTTGGGCCTCTTGAAACAGTTTCCGTGGACTCAGCCAAATTTCCACTTCCTCAGTTAGTTATTTAGAGACCAACCACAAGTCTCCACAGCAGCACTTGTTTTCAAAATTTCAGACAGAAAACCCAAGATAGGGCTCAGACCGCCTTTTGAGGGACAAAGCACCAATTCTATCTATTTCCCTCCTTTCCTTTTCAAGGCATATCAGCTATTCTTGACCAAGTGAGCATCTTTCTCAAGCTTCACCACAGTCCATGTGAACACTTACGAGATTAGATTTAGGCTATGTCTGTCCAATGCCATGGACAGTGGTTAGTGTTAAGATATAACCAGGAGCAGTATTAAGATAGAAATACCAAATGTACCTGGACTGTTCAAACACTATTCTTAATGTCAGAGTTGAACAGATACAGTCTCAAATTAGCAGGTGTGTTTGTGGTGAGGCTGGCCTAGGATCTAGATAAGCTGGAAGGAAAGGTACCAGAAGAAGTATAAGATGGCACCCTGCGTCTTGGGGTTTGGTCAGAAGCTTGGAGTAGGTAGAGTTTTTCTTTTATCTTAAGCTTGGCTGGACTATACCTTGTGTAGCTATTACTTTGACAAGAATAAAATAATGGTTGTCTGCTTTTATGAAGCAGTTGTCAGGCCCAAAAGGGTGATGTGATTTGGAGAGTGGATGGGTATAAGAGGCTCACTTCCTTAGGGAGAGCCTTACCTTGGGCACCCAGGTGAGAGGCAGAGGAGGGAAAGGAAAACTCGGTTCTGTGGGGAGCAGTTCATAGCATTTTTAGGTTTTCTGGGTTAAATGAAGTGAGGCAACTGGCAAATGCTTCATTCAGTACTGTGTGTTTCAAGTCTAAAGCTCGAGTCTTCATAGTCCAATGCTGAGGCTGTGGAATTTGCCTCCAGGGCCCTCAGCCCACGATTTATCTCTGTGTGCCCCTTTCTGTTTCAGGACATTTGTCCCAGGCTACAGCTCCCTGGTCTCACAGGGCTCCAAGATTGCTTTGGAGAAACTTCATTCACAGCAGCATTAACCCTGTGACAGGTAAGACAGTAACAACACCCACAAACAAAAACAGAAACAACAGGACTTCTGTGAAAATCCAGGGCACTGGGATGGTGGGCTCAACTCTGTTTGACCATGGCCTCAGATGGGTCCTGGAGTCTTGGCTCCAGTCTTTGCGTCTAGGAAGAGACTTCCAAGGACTGTTTGGTCCAAATCTCCCTATACACCAGGGAGATCATCCAGTTTCAGACTCACACTCATCCCTTCTGGCTGAACATGACAGTCACTTTTGGCGGCCTTTGTTGTGTTCCTTCCAATGTCAACAATTTTCACATCTGACTTTCATCAGAAGTAGTTAGGGAGTTTAAAGACACATGGATTCTGCAACACCTACGACAGTCAGGCCTGGGAAACTAGTATTTAATAAAAAATTAAAAAAATTTCCCTATTTGACCAAATTCTCCCCGCCCCCCGCTGCCCCCGCTCCAAGTTTCTCGTATCTGCCACGTCCCTTTCTATAGTTGTACACACTGAAGTCTCACAGTAAGCCATAAATGATTTCTTAGAGGGCAAGGTCAGAATGGGCATCCTTCTAATAGGGACCAACAGGGTTTGGAGCATGATGCTTCACTCCCATAAGCTCCACTCTCTTCCTGTTGGCCTCATTGGGCTGGGATCCTATGCTGTCCTAGAGAGGGTCAGGACCACGCATGTCTTGCAGTTCAAACAAGATTGGTTCTTAAAAGAAGTCATGACTCGGGAAAGGCTTGCTGCAGGTAGGATGTTGCTTCTGGATGGCTGAGTGTGCAGTAAATGACTGCAGATGTATAGTGGGGCAGGGCATTTACTATGTGAAGCATTTCAGTGGTGATTAAATAAAAGCAGCCTGAGTCTTAGCATTCATTTTAAGGCCAAGAGTGAACGAGAACTGCCGAGAGCCTGTTCCTTTAGATTTTTCTCAGAACTCTTCTCCCCATCAAAGGGCCTGATCTCTATGTTATTGAAACAGTATATATGGCATGAATTGGGGAAATAAAAGCAGAACGGTCTTATCAGAGGAGAATTTTGGCCTTTCTGATCTCTAGTGATTTAGAATAGCATGCATACTACCATAAACAGATGTTATCATTTTAATCCCATTTACTGCTTGCAGCATAAATGGGATTATTATCTCATTCTTTCCAATGATAAAAGTCCTGTTTGCAGTGCTTTGATACATATATACAAACATTCATACATTTTCTTGGATCAAGAGCAAGGAAGAGCCATGGAGGATTAAGGTCACATGCCCATGTCACAAGAGGAACACAAAGCTCAGTGAGCTTATACCACATTATAAACAAGATAAGATTAAGTTTTTGGTGACAAGGGTAAGTAAAAGTCATCTGTCCAGAGCATGTCCATATTGTACTGCCATTCCCACAGTAGGGTGTGAGCAGTCCCCCAAAGATCCTCAAGATCCTGCTCTTGCTGGATCATTGATATATGTTAAGGATGTATTTATTGAATGAAAGGACCACAGGCCAGGAGTGCTCAGAGTGACTTTAGGACCATTAACTCAGTTGTCACCAAAGGCCCACCTGAATCCCATATCATGATCATCAGGGGGTTTGTTAAAATCCAATGTCCAGGAAAACTTTGTTAGGACTGTCAGAAGGATAACACCAAGCGTTTGGAGTTTGCATATTAGCCAGTATCCCAATAAACCAAACCACTAAAATCAAGTAGATTAACTAATGAGATAAAGTCGATCTGTTTGAACTAAATATTCTGCTGGTTTCTTTCTGCAACCAAGCTTCAACAATACCGGATGCATTTATTTGCATACAGTAAGAACTTTCGGCAACATCACAGATTCTTTCTTGCTTAGCTAGTAGGCAATGATTTTATCATCTAGCATCCTGGGATAATTCAGTAAAAGCAGAGTGTTGCCCTATGAAAGACACCTTTAGTGCAAAGCTGAACTAATGGGTGCATTAAGGGGCTGCTGAAGTTACCCGCTGAGTGGTTTAAAGGACCTTGGGACCTCAGTTCATGGCAGATCCAATTTTCCATCAAGTTATCTACAAGCTGTACTGTGCGCGCGCGCGCGTGTGTGTGTGTGTGTGTGTGTGTGTGTGTGTGTGTGTGTGTGAGAGAGAGAGAGAGAGAGAGAGAGAGAGAGATCCTTTGGTGGGGGGTATGGAGGGACTGGGTTGCCCTGTAGAGCTCTCTAATTACAAAGACGGCCTGAGTAAGTCCAGTGAACTGGACCTGGCTGGGTCCTTGAACTCTCCCAGAGCAAAGGATCCTGTTCCACCTTCTCTCCCAGATGCAACTGTCACCCTTGCAGAAGACAATAGAGTGGAAGAGGAAGAGATTTCCAAGAAACTCCGTTGAAGAGCTCTTGTCTATTCTTTTTCTAACAGGTTATAATTGGAACTATTGACTTTGCTTGGAATGTTATATTAAAGCGTGTACATGGAAATTCAGACTTCCTTATTGTGGCTTCCTAGCTTTGCGGTTTTTTTTTTTTGAAAGTCTACTCTGTCAAATTTTCCAACAGAGCAATTCTCAAAAGCCTGTATGTTTATTCTGCCTATACTTATTTACACAAATAATCAGGAGGCCAGGCCTACTTTTTAAGAGAAATTGGTCTTGTTGTGATTATCTTTGCCAAAAACGTAGGTGATTATGAGAGGAACTTAAGTTTCAGAATCAGAAGAAGGCAAAACCACACTCTTTTTGAAATCTCAACAAAAGCATCTACACATTACATAACCTGCTTCATAAGACATGTCTTGCTCTCTCACATGCAGAGCTATTTCCTTCTTGTTTCTAGTTTTAGTTACCACATATTAGTGAGAATTTCAATCCCTGTCAGTTGTGAAAAGCATTCTTCAGACCAGTACCATGTCATATGTATAACTTTGTGTATATGTGCATGTGATATGTATGTACATGTTCATGTGGGTGTGTGCATGTGTGTGGAGTAGCAGGTGCAGGCTAGAGGTTGGTGTTGCGTGTCTTCCTCCATTGCTCTTTACTTTATTCTTTTGAGGCAAAGTTTCTCACTGAAACTGGAGCTCACTGATGTGGTTGGAAGGGCTGGCTAATGAGCTCCAGGGATCCTCTTGACTCCTCTTTTACTCCTAGTACTGGGAATACAGCCTTGAACCACCCAATCTGGCTTTTACATGGATTCTAAGGAGCCACACTCAGTCTTATACAGCAGGAAGTTTACTGACTGCATCATTTCCCCGTCCGACTTTCCTTATTGATTAACACGCAAACCCCAATATATTTAGCTTCTTTGTATCATACAAAAATGTCAGCGTATGTGAACTTTCAATTTATGCTTATAGCTGATATTTTAGCATTCCAACAGGCAGCACTAATTAGACTTAGTGGGTTCCCAAAAAAGTAGAAGAAGTGAAGTGGGGGAGAGGGAGGTGTTTGGAGTGTCTGTGGGAACCGGAGGGGGAAGCTGGGGGTTGGTGTGATCTACACACATTGGTTACATATATGAAATTATAAAGAATTAATAAAAGATATTATATCTGAAACTGATATTTTAGTATTATAATTTATTAGAAATGAGTCAGACAAGTAATAAGTATCTACTAACTTTAACACAATATGACTTAAAGATTCTAGATCATTATATTTTTTTTAAACGTTGAACAGTTCATTTACAAATACTGCTCTATGTACATTCACATACTTTACTAGTTCTTAGCAATTATGTCTGAATTGCTCATGGAAATCCTGTATCAATGGGATTTGAGCTAGAGATGTGGAAGGTGGGTTTTTCAGGGAGAAACCAAAGGCAAAGCAGAGAGAGAGAGAGAGAGAGAGAGAGAGAGAGAGAGAGAGAGAGAGATCCAAAATGTTTAGAACAGGAAAGGGAGAAAAAAGAATGGAAAAGGAGAGAACAGAGTGCTTGCCATGAAGAGTGCAGGGTCAGCTTATGGTATGTTCAGTGTACAGGCTGAGCACCTGTCTGCCCAAATATTTAAAAACATATTTAAGAATGTTATAAATGGGGGGTTGGAGAGATGGCTCCGTGAGCACATTAAGAGCACTGCCTGCTCTTGCAGAGGACCCAGGTTCAAATCCCAGCACAAACACGGTGGTTAACAATCCTCCATAACTCCAGTTCCAGGGGATCTGATGCCCTCTTCTGTCCTCCACAGGCTCTCCACGACATGGGTGCACCTACATATATACTAATAAATATAGGCGTAATACTAATACACACAAAATAAAAATAAATAAAAATTTTAAAGGAGTGTTATAAATGGGGCATGTATATCACATTCATCCAAGGCTCAGGAGCCATTGAGAAAGATGGAGTAGAAAGATTTTAAGAGATGTTAAGGTTGGGGAGGACCAGGGAAGAACAGTGTCTTCTGAGTACAAGACTGTTGCACTCACAGACTTGCAGCAGCTCTGGCTGCCTGTATAAGACTTGCACAAGATCAAGCCAGTCAGCATTCCAACATGGAAGGGGTAGGCCATTCATCAGCCTTAACCCTTAGCTGAGGGGCTATTGACAATTCATGGCTATTAGAGGAGAGAGAGTTTCCTTTAAGGGTGTGTATGTGATGTATCTGTACATGTTCATGTGTGTACGTGTGTACGTGTGTGTGGTATTATTGATGGATTGTGTGTGTGTGTGTATGTTGTGTTACAGGTCAACCACGCTCTAGTGGATGGTGCCACAGCCATGACTATATGGGCAGCACAAATATGAAATTTCTTTTGAGGACATGAAATTGGGAGGGGGTGGGGATATGCAGTAGATCTGGGAGGAGTTGGGGGAAGGGAGTAAGGGGTGAATATGATCAAAATATATTATAGCATGTATGAAATTCTCAAAGAATTATTAAAATATATATTTCAAAAAAATGTTAAGGGAGCGATAAGGGAAATAAATGTTATAGAATTAGGGAAAATGTGGTGGTCATGCCCATAGAGAGAGTGGAATGCAGTACCACCCTTGTTTTTGGTCACAGCCAGGGAGAATTGTGGGTAAAC